CGAGCCCCAAACAAAGAGGCGGATGTGATCTCCATGGCGTCTATGTTTTAAATATCAAATGCCACTACTCAGAGTATGACATATGCCTCGAACCAGCCAAGTCACTGATAGAGTTCAAAGACTGGGATAATGTACTCATCTGCATTGAAGAAGGAGTAAAAGCATTTCTTACTAAGGAAAATCTGGTGACAGAGTTTTCCATGAATGGCAGTGATGGTCCATCAAGTAGTCCATTGAGGAATGCAAAGACTCCTGTGGCTGAACAAAACCTCAGTGCTGAACAAACATGTGAAAAGTGTGACGCATTGACTGAGAAAAAGGACAATGCAAGTGGTTTGGAAGTCTCTGGTGGTCAAATGCTGGAGCAAGTGTCAATAAACACGGAAACCCTTTCCAGTGAAGAAACAGACGCTGAAAAAGCTCTTCAGGGTGGCGATTTGCACTTGCAGACCACATTTGCAGTTGCTACAGAAATGAATAACAATCGCAAAGAAGATGAAAATGCAATTTGTCCTAATATAAGCCAAAATGCTTTGCCAGTTACTGTTAACAACAACAACAACATAAATTTGATGGGAAGCAAAAAACACAAGATTTCAATTCTGGATGTAAAAGGGGCGCAAGATAGTTTAAAAAAATTCTGCTTCCCAAATAAAATGTCTTCAAAAAAAAGAAAGCTGCCATTAAATGACATTCAAGAAGACAAACATGTTTTTTATGGTACCAGCTCAAATACTTGCAGAGCTCCACCATGTCATAAATTAACTCTGCCTTTTGAAACAGGATCTCTTGACAAGTTCAAAAGGTTGTTTGGGAAGGATCCTGAAAAAGAACAACCAATTACAGAAAAACAAGCCTTTTACAACCAGAATCCTCTAGAAGATCTAATGACTGCTTTGTAGGATCTACTTTGTGCTTAGATGATACAGACAAGCCCTTATTGAGGAACATTTCAGATGCGTATTCTCCTTGTAATTCTGAATGTTATGCAGAATCTTCATGGAATGAGGGACAAAAAATATCACTGGCTGCCAAATGTTCCTTCTTCAAACATGATAAAATGGCACTCAGAGAGGTCAGCAGAGATGCAGACTTTCTTACCATGGAAACATTGCCTTTTCCAGTTGTACAAGACTCAAACATTGAAGAAAAGTCCTGTGAATTAGAAAAAGAAGATGTATTTTTTGGATCCTTTGAAACTGTTGATTCGCTTTTCCATGATTCTTCTGAAGACAACCCAGTCTTCTCTCTAATAGAGCAGGACACAGCAATACCTTCCTCAACTTTAGAAGACCCTCACTTCTGGAATGAGAATGTGCCTTCCTTTTTGGGAAGTGTGAGCAGTGTTGATGAAGCCAGAGTATCCTCTCAACATGATCCTCTGTGCAGCAACACAGGAAATGAAGGTCAGAATACAAATGACAGTGTTAAAACAATCCCAACGTCCAGCAGCTGGCTGGCTCATTATGACAGTTGCTTAGGAAAGCTAGTTTACATAAACCAAGTTACAGGGCTCAGCAAATATGACTCTCCTCCTTTGGAGGAGACTCAAGTGTCATGTACCACAGATGTCACTAACATGGCGGTCAGTGTTTTTTCAAGAACAGGTGGGAGAAATTCAGAGAGACATTTTTGGATCACTAATGTACAGATATTTATGTTATAATCAGCTTGTCTTTGCTCATAGGATTTGAGTACAGGTGTTATCCATTTCACTCAGATATTGTACTTCCCTTTCTGCCCAAGCCCAGAGCAGAAAGAGCTCTTAACTCAGGGACAGACAGCAGAGGTACAGCTCTAGACTGACATCAGGACTGAAATCAGCTTTTTAGTGCACATTAACTAATTGTTTTTCTTTTTACTCTTTTAAGAGGATGCCCAAGGTCCCGATTCATTGTCGACTTTATTCTCAAAATGGAGTAACCCGGTGTTCATACGGCCTCCAGAGGTATAAAGGACTACTGGTTTAATAAATTAAATATTTTAAGGATTTTTAATGAAAAAATATTCGAATTAACTTGGCTCACACTTATAATTTATTCTTAAAAGGTTTCTGTGGATGTAACGAGCGGTCAAGCTGAGGATCTTGCTGTAAAAATACACAATATTCTGTTCCCCTACCGGTTTACCAAGAATATGATCCACACAATGAGAGTAAGTATTATACATCAGCTCTTTTTGTGCACTGAGGAACTGGCACTGACAATGGTGAAAATGAATCTAAGATTTAAAACAAAACATTTTTTTTTAACTTTAGGTCATCAATCAAGTGGACAAGAAGTTCCTTGCTTGTTTGATAAATACAACAGAACAGGATGTGTCTGAAAGCAGTGCAAATGAAGGTGCCATGGCCTGAAAATTATTGCATTGAATAAGTGTGATGATGTCCTAAACATTTATCTTTGCCTTCTACTGCAGGAAATCTTCTAGTGTTGGTTGATCAACATGCTGCCCATGAAAGAGTTCGACTGGAGGGGTTGGTAACAGGTAAATGGTACCATGTAAGAGTTGAGCACCAAATCAGCATGTTAGAATGATTTCTGAGGGATCATGTTACACTGAAGACTGTAGTAATGATGAAAATTCAGCTTTGCCATCACGTGCTAATGATCACATCACATTTAAAATAAAAAGCAGAGATTCAACAGATTTTTCACAATATTAAGGTGTTTTTTTTAATATCTTACCAACTTATAAGAATAAGAACAAAACAAAATTCATGTAAAAGCATGAAAAGGCTAATAAAGAAGAGGTGCATAAGGATTCAATGTGTTTTTCCCACACTGCTTGTTGTTTGATTTAGACTCTTATGAGGATGACCCAGACACACCTGGAAAAAAGAGGCTGTGTTCTTCAAGTGTAACCCCACCCTTGGAGATTAATGTAACTGAGGAGGAATTGAGACTTCTGAGGTCAGTGCAGCTGTTTGAACATTCCTGATTCCATCGTCATCTTCTCTTTGAAACATGCATGTGTGTTCAATTAGTTCTGCACCTTTGCCAAAACAAAATGCCATAAATCTCTCTTTTGTTCTTGAAGGTCTTGTCAGGCCTTCCTTAGGGGTCTTGCTTTAGATGTAAGGTTCCCAAAGAGTGAGTCACTGAATGTGTTTTTGGAGAGACTTCCCACATGTTTCATCGAGAAAGAAAGCACAGAGCTCCGCCGTGGAAGGCGGTCAGTAATTAAAACCATTGCAGAGGTCAGACTCAGTTCTTATTTGTTTTTGTCTTCTTATTGTTTTAAACTCATAGACTCATAGACTGTGTATTTTATTCTGTAGGACTACCTGCGAGAACACATTGAGGTGAGCTGGCATGCCCCATGCGTAATTTTCAGTGCTGATTGTTGTCTATTAGTGAAATAAATTACAACAATTTGAGTTAGTAATGGAATCTAATACATTACACTTTTTAAGTTATTTAATCTGATTACCTTTAGAATTTTTTGATTTGAATAGTATAATTTTGTTCCATATTGATAAAAAATATAAAGAGAAAGAAAATTTATTCAATTTTTTGTTAACAACAAAATGAAACGATTAAAAATGAAATTAAAATTACATTACGTAAGGGTCTTCTAGGCTAGGGTTTGGGAAGGACCTGCGGAGGGATTGTAAATTGATGAAAAAATAAATAAATAATAAAATAAATAAATAAAAACAGTAACTAAGAAAAAGATTAAATATTTTATTTGGTTATGCCTTGCGGCCTCTTAATTTTTCTCGTAATTATAGTCAGCAGGTCTGTGTGTGCAGTTCCACAAAACGCGAAGACTTTGAACATAGAAATAATTTGGGAGAATTTAATTCTGCCATTTTGTGAATATTAAGTAATAATGCAATCTATAAAAAAGTAGCTATAGTCTGATTATGAGTATTTTAACATGTATTATATTCTAATTACAGGTGCTTAATTTTTGGATCTGATTACATAATCTAGATTACATGTAATCGGTTACTACCCTACACTGTAAACAAAATACTACAAATGGTTTTTGGTGCTTGAATGGGATATATTTATGATATTATGTTCTTTTGATTCATACCACAGCTTCTCCACTCAACAGGAAGAGCTAGAGGAACTCTGCCTCTGACAGTACATAATGTTCTCGCTTCACAAGCGTGTCATGGTTAGTGTTATAAATCCACCATTAAGTTCATTTTAAATATATTAGGTTAATTAACCGTTATAGGGAACACAGAAACGGTCTACCCCTTCTCCCATTTATACAAAAGAAGCCACGATGTGTCTAAACGTGTTTGTGTACACTTTGAGTACATTTACCGATTGTCAATTTTTGTTAGCTATTTTTAAGTATGTAGGCAATAATTAGCATTTTCTAAATATTCTTGTGCATATTCATTCAATGTATTTATTCATCTTAACAGGAGCAATTAAATTCAATGACATTTTGAGTAAGGAGGAGTGCTGTAGTCTGGTGAGCTCGCTCTCCTCTTGTCATCTTCCTTTCCAGTGTGCTCATGGAAGACCTTCCATCGTCCCTCTGGCAGATCTTCACCACTTAGAAGATCAACAGGTATGTTTCAATTAATCTGCAACAATAAAAAAGTTGTATATTTTCTAATATTTTTTGTTTAATTTTTTAATATCCCCACAGGATCTTCCCAAACCAAATCTGAGGAAATTGAGAAGGATGTACAAGTCATGGCAGCTTTATGGAAAAGATCAATCTCTTGCTCAAAACAAAGCATGAATTTATCAATAGGAAAAACCTCTTGCAATTATTAAATTATTAAATAATTTATTATTACATTATATATATATATATAGTGCACCTGCTTCTGTTTATTGCTGGACTGCTTTTATTTTGTTACACGTTTTGGAGCATACAGTTGCTGCCAACAAAAACAGCTCTACGATGGAGCAGCCAATAATAAAGGACTATACTCGGTCGTGAAGTTTTTTCCTCCAATCAAATAGTTCCTTTCAAGGTTGTGGTCCAATCAACGTTAAGCATAGGAGGGCGCTAAAATGGATGACGTCCCTACACAGAGCCATAGCACAGAGCTCATTGTTAGTGCATTGCGTTGAAAGCTGGAAGGGGCAGCAGAGTACCTCACGTAAACGTTAAGAAGTATTACTCCATAGGTGAGTTTTCACGTAGAAATTATATTCTATAACGTATAAAAACAGTTTTAGACTCAATTGATGACATATATATTGGTTTATTATATCAGTTTTTGTGTGTTAAAATACAAGAGTATATTATCCTCCCAATTCAAAGATGGCCGAACAGCAGCACTGACGTATGAATTTGGCGCTTTCTGCATAAGATTAAAACGTAAATCTTATGATTTCTGAAAACGTTTTGGAGCTCATAGCATCTGTAATGCAAACGTTACAAATTTTGGCGACTGCAAAGTTAAAGAAATGATCTAACGTTATACGACTGTCTGAATGCTCTTGGACTGGGTTTTCTGTAACGTTACATCCCACATCCTCGTGTGCTGATGTGCCTTGGCGTTACTATGTTACGTTTTTAAAAAAGCATTTAAAAGAGTTCTTGTTAATCTTTAGCAGATGTTTAGAATCAAGTTGTAATGTTAGCCTATGCTAAACTGACCTTTTGGTCCCTTTGATGATATACACTGTATATAGTCATGCCAATGAATTGTATCATTTGTTTAATTATGGCATGTGATATGTAGGAATATCAGATATTTTGATATAATGAAATGTTAAAATATATTTCAAGATTTTTTTTTGTGGTAATGCTTTAAGCGTCCTCTTATAAGCCACATTATTTTCTAATTTTTAAAAATATTTATGCAGTAATGATGAATGACTGAAAATTCAGAGGACCTGAATTATGGTGTCTGTATTTGATTTGGTTATGTATGTTGTCTTTCTCATTGCATCAGTGATGAACAGGATTCGGATCCACGTTCTGCCATCCAGCAGAGGTCGAGTGACTCAAGCTGCTCGCTCTCAAGAACCTCAGACCTGCTCCTTCACCCAGAGACCCTGTTCACAGCCTCGTCTGGAGGGCCTGGAGTTCTGCATCAAACATGTTCTTGAAGATAAAAATGCTCCATACAGGCAATGCAGCTATGTTTCCAACAAGAATGGCAAGCGCTGCCCCAATGCAGCTCCAAAACCAGAGAAAAAAGAGGGGTGAGTTTTTTTTTTGTTTTTTTTTACTCCTTTAGCATGGTTAATAAAGTACCTAGTTTCTATAATTTTTATTTGACTTAATTTTGTTCTTTCTGTTAGGGTTTCATTCTGTGCTGAGCATGCACGCAGAAATGCTTTGGTTCAACAAGCCCAAATGCGGAAGGCATCTGCTTCTGGCCCTTCCCCTGAAGTTCTACTGTCTCAGCTCAGCGGCTATAGTCGGCCAGAATCTGGAGCTCACAGTCACGAGGGCCGAAGTGAAGCTAGTCGCATACTAGGTGAAATCTAATTCGCATCTAATTGTGCTGTTACTTGCTTTTGGACTTGCTTTTGAGAAATCTCTTTTAAGTCTGAATGTGTTAACAAGCCTGTGTGTGAGAACTGATAACTAACTGAAGAACTGAAGTAACTCCAGTTTGGTTGCCACTTCAGAGGAAATTAACAGCAGTAAAAAGTATAAACCACATTTAATGTATATATATTTGTTATATATATATATATATATATATATATATATATAAAATGCTTTTTATTTTTAGATTTGATTCCTGCTGTCTTTGAAACTAACATAAAATGATACTTACTAGCTAATGGTTTATGCAATGTATTATTTTAATGTAATAATGTCGTTTGTTGAAATAAGTTGTTTATATTTTTTTCCTTGTATAGATGAAGATAGCTGGAGTGAGGAGGAGCAGGATCCAATTGTTTTGGATCAGACATGGAGAGGAGACCCTGACAGTGATGCTGAAAGTCTTGATAGTGACCATGAAGACCCTTTGAAGTGAGACATTACTCAATTCAATTTTCTTATCTGCTTTGTTTTGTATGTTTTCTGCTTCTTTCAATTTCTGAAAACATTTATTTTAAACATTTCTGTTATCTTGCATTGGTAACAAGCCTCCACTTTTATTCCTCCTTGGGGTTGCCAGATCCAAATGGGGATTTTCACTTAAAAGTATACATTCCCAGTGCTTTACTTAAATGGATTGTTCACCCAAAAATTTAAATAAGCCCATGATTTACTCATCCTCCTAGGTTCTTCTTTCAAACAAACACAATTACTCAAACGGCCATATGCAGACTACTTATGCCTAAAGTGCAACTTGCACAACTTGTGACGTTGGAAGTAGCGTAGTGCGTCATGGTGTAAATATCAGCAGTACGTCACATTACTTGCCTAAGTTGCGCTGTAGACTTAAGTGGAATATATGTTTCATTTGGCCGGCGCACCACTTCGCTTCAGAAGGCTTTTATTAACCCCCCGGAGCGGTGTGGAGCACTTTAATGATGGATAGATGCACTTTTATGGACTTTAAAACAGAAACTGCAATTTACTGCTATTATAAAAGCCAGGACATTTTTTAATATAATTCCGATTGTATTCGTATTCTGAAAGAAGATTGTCATATACACCTAGGATGACTTGGGGGTGAGTAAATCATGGGCTACTTTTCATTTTTGCATAAACTCTCCCTTTAATCTACTCAATCTGGCAACCATGTGTGCTCCCTCTCTCTCTCTGCACAAAGATGATGATCTGACAAACATTTATTTTGGAGTTTAGCAATGTTCATTTTGAAATTCTGCCAGTCTGTGTTCCTTCATAAGGCCGCTTGTGCGAGTTTCTGCCACTAAATCTGAGAGCGAACCTTCTTTGTGATTAGTTGTAATAAATCCAAACATGATTCCTAACCATATCATTTGCTATCATAATTAGTTAATAAATGTGGTCCATGCAACCAATAATACTTAGTAAAAATAATTTGGAATTAATATTAAGAAATTCACTTTTTCTCGTTTTCGCTTTTCAGAGAAGCTGCTCGAAGGTTCTACCAGTTGAAAATTATTTTGATAATTATATATACATAACATAATTATGATAATCGCGATTGTTAGTTTAACCATTATCGTGCTGCCCTCCCTGAGATGTCAGTTGATGAGTGTGACTTTATTTCTATAGGCATGCAGGTGTTTACACAGCAGAGGAAGTGGCGCTCATCACACGTGAAAAACTAATCAGACTTCAGTCCCTCTACATAGACCAATTCAAACGTCTGCAACACTTATTAAAAGAAAAGAAACGACGCTACCTGCATAGCCGCAAGATTGAGCATGAGACAATTGGTAAGGCTGCTGGTTATTCTTTGGTTGCATTCATGTGTGCAGTCAACATATAATATAATCAATTTTATGATGCAGGGAGCAGCCTGTTAACGGGTCCAGAGGGCCTGTCCATGAAGGAACGAGAGAACCTAAAAAAATTAAAGGCTCTGCGACGTTATCGACGGCGATATGGGGTGGAGGCGTTGCTGCATCGTCAGCTCAGAGAGCGAAGACAAGCGATTACTGAGGGAGGCACGCCACAGGTATAGGTGGACTTTCTAGTAACGTCTTATACGACAATAAAAGGTTTAATCTCTACAGACCTGAATGACATTTGATTTTCAGACTGAAATGGACATCAGTCTGAGGCTATTGCCATGCTCAGTAATTTTTTTTAACGTCATTTGTGCATCCTTTTAATTCTTTTGTGTTTTTTTTACCACACAGGCGATGCGTTTAGGCCAGAGATGTATTTCCTTTGTGGAAGGGACACGCTGTTCAAATCAGTGTCTGCCGATGACTCGACATTGCGTCTCTCGTATCCTTTTTCATTTCTGTTGTATCTATGCATGTTATGTTCAGATCTATTAAACTTTGTTGTTGTTTTTTTCTTTCTGGCAAATAGAATAATTTGAGTAGATTGTTGTACATATACTGTTCAGGAGTTTGGGGTCAGTAGGTTTTTTTTTGACAGAAGACAGAAGTGTCTTATGCTCAGCAAGGCTGCATTCATTTGATTAAAAAATACAGTAAAAAATTGTAATATTGTGAATTACAATTGTTTGACAGTTTATTATTTGAATATATATAATGTAATTTATACCTGTGGCGGCAAAGATGAGTTTTCAGCGTCATTACTCCAGTCTTTTGTGTCACGTGATCCTTCAGAAATCAATATATTATGGTGATTTGAAAATAGTTCTTAAAACTTTTGATCAGAATAATGTTCTGTTTAAACAAAATTATTAATTTCTTCATAAAAAACATCTTGCTGACTCCAGACTTGTGAATGAAAAAAGTCATTGTAGTTGCCCTGAATCAAGGCCTGCAGTTTGCTGTAGCTGTTGGTTTCAAACAGTGGCGTATACAAATGTCTTCTAATGGTCTGTTTACTTCCCAGAATTATCTAATGGTGAAGTCCTTTCTGTTTGAAGGAACAGTTTAAGTTCTCCACCTCATCTAGCCTCCCATATCTTTGACATTTAAAAGTGATTTCCCCAGTTGTCATCTCCTTAACCCTGCACAATAGACATTTACCAAGATAGTGGCCAAGTTTTATTCAAGATGTGCCCTGGTCTGAAGGACGTTCCATGTGATCGGCCTGTGCACATGGGACAGTCTGAGGAGCCCCGCTGTCCTCTGCACCTGTCTCTGCCTCCACCCATGTACCAGCCCGAGCAGGAGTCTCTTGCCCCGGAGCAGTTGGCGTCTGCGCCCACAGACATGTACCTCAGTGCTGCAGAGCTCCAGCCAACAGAAAATCTGCCTCTGGAATTCAGTGATGTATGATTTGTGTTGGTTTTCTCATTAAAACAAAAATCGTTGTGTGCAATTGCTTTTCTCATATGTGTTTTGGCACATCCCTTCACACAAAGTTTCCCATTATCAGAATAATTAAGTCTGCAATCTGCGCTAAATTTGTTCACCCCTGGCTCCTTCTTCAGATTGCTGATGTATCTATCAAGTATCTACATGCCTGCTAACAGTGCTGCTCAAACATGTCCCCTGCAGTGTAAATCATATCCCATAGCCTCACATGAACGAAAAGCAAGTTAATTTGAATGTTCAGCAGCTCATCTTCCTTTAATTTTATTTCTAACATTTCTGTGCACATAGTAAAACCCCTAATTTAAGTTCATTTTTGGAAACGTCTCATTTTCCTGTTATGCCACAAGCTATTTATGTGCTTTTCCAATATTTGTTTCCATTGCCTGCTTTCAAAAACAAACAATATTGCAAATTTACCCATATTGCTGGATTTTGCGTTGGTTATGGTCATAAAAAATTAGGTGTTGAGCTGTGAAGTACATTTTTTATTTTTTTTATTTTATAAAACATAAGCTATTTTGCAAAAACACATTCCCTTATAAAATAACTGATTAGCTACTACACCTAAAACCAAAAGAGAAATGTGCTATTAATTAATTAAACTAAAAAAAAAAAATTAAAGTATATACTGAGCTAGTGGTGATTTGTACTATATTTTGCACTATATTTTTAATATAAATTTATGATTTTATTTGGTACATTGTCATTGCTCAAAACAATACAAAATCAATTATCAGTCAAAAGCAGTCTTTTTTAAATCTGCATTTACCAATTTTACATGTGGTTTTCCTTTGCAGTATTTTTTTTATTTTTTTTTAAACAATTTAACACTAAAATGTAATCTTTAGCCATTTTCATGCTGTACATTATAATCTCATAATACCTAAATTGTAGCATTTACGTTTTTTTATAGACAAAATAGCATTCAATTTAATATCGGCTATTAAATTGGTTATTGACCATACCATAAAATAATGACTATGCTGAATTTAAATATTGGTGCATCCCTAATCATCAGTGATGTAATTAAAGCCTGTTGGTGTGCAGGATCTTGATGTTGAAGATGAGGGATTGCAGTGTCCCCCATCCCCCTTGCTGTTTGATACAGCGCTCGCATTAGAGGACCAAACCATCAGGGAGATTGCCGAGGCCCCCATGGACATCCTGACAGGGACGGAGCATGGGTATCTAGACGGATCTGCCCAAGATGTTGAGCTCTCAGAGAGAGACAAGGTGTCTGTGGAAGATGAGGTAATTATCACTTGGAATACATAAACGATGCAACCTCAGTGGTGTGTCTATTCTTTGCAATGACAAGTGGGCATTTAATCACCAGAGCTACTGTCGTGTTTTACAGGTTGAATCGGAAATACTTGAAGCAGTTGGACAAGTGGTTCCCATGCTGAATTCATCAAAGGATTCTAACACTAAAACAACAGATGCCTTATCCTGAGCACCTTGTGACCTGATTTTCTCAGCTGTTGTACCCTTGATATTTCAAACAGTTCAAATATCTATTTAAAAGCCATATTCCGGAAGTCTGCTTTCATCCCAATTTAACCCAACATGCTCTTTACTTAAAATAGCACAATGGCACATGTCCTGATATAGATTGCAAGTGTCTTCTGCACATCAGTGACAGTATATGCACATAGTTTTGTATTTTAAGTACAGAAAGTCTCCATGCGCGATCTCCATTTTTATCCAGCACATTTCTGCTTTGATATTCATGACTCATACTGGGATTTGTTCACTAAAATAAACCTTTACATCTCATTTTGCTCTTGTTAATTAAAATTTTGCATTCATGAATGGAGCTCCTCTGGGACCGTCAGGGTTCCTAGAAATATCAGGACATTTTTATCATCAGAGTCATGGAAATTTCTGTAGTGGATATAAAATGGTTCTAGTAATGATCAGGGTTGGGTTTTCCAAAAGTAACGTTAGCCAAATTTGGTCTCATGTACCATTAAACTCATATTGGTAATTGGCTTTGGGCTTGGTTTGTTGAACTTGATTTGTTTGCAAATTGTTATTTTGGGTTGGTTCTTTTTGATAATTCAGTAAACTGGTTCACAGAAAGATTCATTAGTCATTTTTCTATGTCAGAAATCCTTGTACAGTAAACACAAATAACTGGAAAGTTTTTACAGTTTTGAATTATATATATTTTTCTATTCTTTATTATATAAGTTAAATTTGATACAATTAAAGGCATAAACATCACTCAATAACATATGCAGATTGGCCACAGAACACTGAATTGCATTTTAATCTTGAAGGACAAATATAAATAATCGCTGCCTGCTTAGTCACAAATCATGATTAATGCAATCACTGCAGATGCGTAACGAAAATAACGCGATATGACACCGTAGCTTAATAAAACAGACTATTTTAGCAAATAAAAATCTATCAAACAAGATAAATGTGTGAGGCAAAACTATAAATGAAAACATGCTTTTGCAAATGCTACGTGGAGCCCAAGATAGGGCCTTTTACTAAAAGTGGGGCGGGCAACACAATTTCAAGCCATGACATCACTTTTCCTGCGAGTGCTTTAACCTAAACACGGGAAGAGAGACGGATGGGAAGAGACGACGATAAAAGCTCTAATCAGCGGCTGGGGAAACAGATAAACATGTCCACAAGCTGTGAATTTAAAAGTACAGTTCAAGGTATTTCTTAGCGATATTCATCGGGGATATTTTCACACCTTTTGAAGCAGCACAAGGATCGCGCGAGGTAAATATCTCCTTTTTCCCAGCTATCGCGCGCACAGTTTGACGTTTACGTTTCACAAGTATGCTGATTTTGCAAAATGTAACGTACTATGGACATTGTAGTGTTTTGTTGTGGTAATAAATGTTGATGTGCGCGGTGTAAGATTGGAAAGGGAAATGTGGGGCATTAGCCATCCGGCTATCTGGGACACCGGTGGGGTTGTAGAGTGAGGATGCTTGTCGCGATATCCTGCTTTGCTCAGAAATATTGCGCTTGGCTCTTTAAATCAGTAATTCTGCAACAATACATTTGTGTATGTTGCTTAAAATATGGACTTTGCATTCTTCATGTTAGTGCACAAAAATCACAATAATCCGATCTTATCCTAAGCCTTTGCATCTGTTTCCCCGGTTCACTCTGTTTTATGTAGTTAAAGCTATAGCCCTTCCTCTTTCTACAGCACCGCGAGCGTGCAGTCTGTTTATAGCTACACACTTTGGCAACCGACAACTTTTGTTTACTTGTGTGTGATGAGAACGCAGACTGCGTTGTAAAATAGCTAATTTTGGCAGTTCATTCTGCTAGAGACCCTAAAACAGCAACTAATTCAAGAGTAATTGAGGGTAAAAGCATGTCCCCAGCCCCTCCCCTTTAATATTTTACAGATGTTTTTCACATTTGCAAGCCCCATGTTCAAAACCACGTTAAGGCTGGCTCGCGACCTACAATTCTCCCACATCTAATATTCAAGATATTTGGGAGATTGTTCAATTAGAGGAACTTTTCTGTCACTTATTTTTGTTATCTATCTATCTATCTATCTATCTATCTATCTATCTATCTATCTATCTATCTATCTATATATCTATCTATCTATCTATCTATCTATCTATCTATCTATCTATCTATCTATCTATCTATCTATCTATCTATCTATCTATCTATCTATCTATCTATCTATCTATCTATCTATCACCGTTCTTGCTGTCATCATTACCATTAAAATCGTTGCTCAAGTGGACGTTTAAAGATCATTTTAATTAATTTTCACTTCATAATCTGAGAGTTGCTTTACTGGATGGGTGTCATTACCACCAAACCGGACAGTTTTTTGAGAATATTATTTCAGAAGCTGTTGATTAAAAGTGAATTGACTGCTAGCTCAATTGTTGTGTTATCAATTCCATGGTTTATAACTTTTTACTTCAAAAAGTGAAAATGTCATTGGCATTACTTGTCTTTGCCATTACGTTATACCAAAATCTATTTAAAAGTTCAGATCTTATATATATATATATATGTATATGTGTGTGTGATAAATGTGTAACATTTTTCAAGATTTCATGTAATCTGAAGTGCCTCTATTTGAAGAATCGCCCATTTATTCTTACATGGAGCTCTTGGAATTTTGATGCCCATGTTGAACAGCCTGAAGTAAATAATGTCCCCAAAAATAGCTGACAGCAATCGAAGGCGAGATAAACTCCAAATTGCTCAGTAAACCAAATTGCCACAGAGGACATTAGATGCAGCAGGGGGGCTTGCTCCCAGTTTGCTGATAGTCATGGTTGTCTGGTAATTCTACGAACTACTCCCATGATCAAAACATTATCTTTGTGTATCTTTTGATCTTTTTGCATGCCCGGCGGATATGCATTGTCCTTAATGGGAGTCAGATGACATAGGCAAGATCACATTATTAAAGATTCCAAGACACTTAGTGAGGAATTCGGAATGTTGTCCCAGTGCTGTGTTAAAATATGAAAACGTTTCCATAGCTCTAGATTATCTGTTTGTGCTACTATATCTATCTAAGCTCTTAGTGTTTATATATATATATATATATATAGAACACGTGCTAGCTTATAGAACACGTGCTAGTTTGCTCTAGGCAGTTTATGTGAATAAGCAGATTTTCTTGTTGGACGTGTTCACTCTCTGCAATACAATTACAGTCTCATTTCTGGGTGCAAATACATATTTTTTATTCTGTTTAAAAGAACTCCTAGCATTATAGAAGAGAAAGAATGATCAAAATAAAAATGAACAGATATCAAAACAGCAAAGAATGGCTGTCCTAACTTTACATCATCTTACCTGAGTGTTCCTTGGCGAATATTTTAATATTAACACGAGCAAAGTGTTTACGATTTTTGTACTGGCAGTGTCAATTTATAATTTTCAATGACGAATATAAACAAATATATATCTGCAGAAATAGACAGTTGTCTCATTTACAGAACGTGCATGCTAGCTGGCTGTAGTTCTCTCGTTGTGTTCAAGTGCAGCTTTCTTGCCCCCACACAGCCGACAACACAGTCTGCTTTCATCAGCACTAGTTCTTTGGCGTTGTTTTGCTGTGTCTTACCTTAACACCTACATGAGTTTTTTGTAACTGACTCCATTCTAATAAATGTAGCAAATTCTGTAGAAATCCTCTGACTTATTTTAAACCAGTCTAGTTTGCATTCCTATATGTAATGACTGTGCCAAAGTGGTCACGCAATTGTTCCCATATATATATATATATTTAAATAAGATGCTATCAGTCATAGCGCTGTAATGCATTTTAAAATGTTACAGCTCCCACATGGCCTAAAGTTGTTACTGCGTTATGTTGGAGCCTGCGAACGAACAGTGCAGTGTGTTGTTTTTCCAGGTTGTGGCTTATGATGTTATTCCATGGATTGGAGCCCAGAATGGTTGGGGGAGATTGTGCTTGGCCACCTGATCCTAGTGCACGGCAAAGACGCCGATCAGCTGCTATCGCAAAGCAGAGCCACATGAGCCGCATACAAACAAAGCCCCTGTGAAACATCTGATAAAGGAATGAAATCACACAGGGTGCTGTGGGAAAATTTACAATTCCCCCCCTCCCGCTGTCTCTTAATTTGTTATTTGGTGGAGGTTTAAGGCAAAACACCTTAGGTCAATAGAGTAAAACATTTTTTAACCAATTGTCAGCATGCTTCACTAGTTGGTTGATTACATTAAGAATTGCAAAAAAAAAAATGTATTACAAGATATGTTTAAGTATGCAACTGAGGCATTATCTAATGACATATGCACTAATTTGCATAATTTCCAGAAAAGAAATCTGAAAAAGCCTGGTTCGAAGGTTCTTTTTCACTTTGTTTACATATTAGAGGCAAAGCTTTTTACAGATGGGGTTTTGGATATCTCTTTTTTTTATCACTCCATAACGGCCAAATAAAAAAAAATAAAAAAAAATCAGGCAAATGATATATGAACAAAGCCCTCTGTAAAACCTTCAGAATATAGATAGGAGTAAAACTGTTAAGTTTGGTGTTTGTAAGTGCTGCTTTTGTGTGGAGGCGAGCTTTAAAGATATCTATTGTAATTGAGTTCTACAGATACAAATTGATAAAGTGTGAAAGCTGTGCATTACTCACACTCTAGTTGTTCCAAACCTGTATGAATTTCTATCTTCTGCTGAACACATAAGAATATATTTTGAAGAATATGGGTAACCAAATAATTGATGAGCCCCATTGACTTAGTATTTTTTTTTTCATACTATGGAAGTCAATGGGGCCCATCAACTGTTTGGTTGCCCATATTCTTCAAAATATCTTCTTTTGTGTTTAGCAGAAGAAAGAAATTCATACAGGTTTGGAACAACTTGACTTCAAGTGAGGATTTAAGCTATCCCTTTAAAAAAACAAATGTTTTATTTCTATTCATTTGAAACAACACGATATGAAAAGCCAAACCAGTGCACCAAAAAACTCAGTTTCTGCCTGCAGTGTTTTGCATTAAGGAACCACTTCAGAAAGTAGGGAAGCGAACCCTTCCTTAAATTTCAACATGGAACTAGAGTTTTTAGCTTGCACAGTTTCCTCCTTGTGCTCCGTTCATCTAAACATGGCTCCTCGGACAATTAGGGGTGAGGCATGAAATTGGAACTTTTGGCAGTGGCTGTTTGGCTCTGACTGAGAGCCTTCGTATAACTTGATTGAGGCCAAGTAGTCTTGTTTTAGTGTGAGAAAATGGAAGCCATCATTACAGCAGCATCTTTCTTGTCAACACAA